CTCCAGGGTGAGGGAGGGAGTGTTTTAATTAGAGCAGCTCTCTGGAGCTGCTGTAATTAAAATGTCCACAGCATCTTCTGTATTCAATGTCCTGCACTTCAAAATGGTGGCAGGGGCACTTTAACTAGAACTCATTTGACGGCTCTTTCAAGGTGGCCATTTTGAAACGTGGGGACACTGAATACGCGCGATGCCAAGGCTTCTGGAACATTCTAATTTGATTAATCAAGTCTGCTCCAATGTGTTCTAATGAGAACACACTGGAGCACACATTGGATATGTGTATAGGTGGTCATATGTGGTGTTGGGAAACTTGGCTTCTCTGTAAAGACTGGGTCTTAGGTGATCTTGCCTATTGGTTAGGCCACAGGTGTTGGGTAGGAGCCAAACCACAGACTGAGTCAGGGATTGCGTTACTAGATCCAAAGGGATAGAGCCCAAGTCAAAGGCCAAGACCAGATCTAGAAGTCAGAAGCTGGTGCCAAAGTCACAGCAAGCCAGGAGTCAAAGCCAGAGTCAGGGTGAACAAAGAGTCAGAGACCAAGTTACCAGCTCCAAGGGGAAAAGCCTGGACTTTGGCTTTTTGAAACAGAGCTGAGCAGGATCAGGAGTCTGAGAACAAGTACAGGATCAGGGAAGCTTACCAGATCAGACTCTCAGAAGAATTGTTGGCTGCCTGCAGCCTTCTGCCACAAGTGGGGATTACATGGAGAGCCTGTTCTCCCCAGTAGTCGATCAAAAGCCCCCTGGATTCTTAGCTGGGGTAGGGCTGCCAGTCAGAGCCCCAAGCAGGTGTGGCCAACAAGGGTCCAATCAGCCCAGGTAGGGCTGCCTGTTAGGGCTCCTGAAAACTCCCCTTCAAATCCTGGAACCAGCAATGTATCGGAAGAAACAGCAAGTATAGTACAGCACGCATAATGCAATGTGGATGATGACAGGCAGGTTTGCCAGGCACAAGCACATTGTGGCAGGAGTGCAAGAATCCAGAGAAGTGGAAACATCCTTAAAAGACATGTAGCAGCATCAGCAGCACTGAAATTAGCACTGAGATATCACCTGAAAATGTTTATGAACAAAACTATTCCCAGAATTAACAATGAGAGATTTGATTATAAACCATAACTAAGGGTATCTTCAAATAGCATTGTATTATTCCTAGATACAAAGAATATATCTAAATGGCATTCAAGTTGTGTCCCAGAGACAGGGGGCTTAATGTGTCCCTGGAGTAACTTCAGTACCATATTTATAGGTTTGGTGTATGTGAGTGAGAGTAGGTGGCAGAACATACTTGAGAAAAACCTTTCCAGGATAAGCTAGTGATGCAGCGTAGACATACACCAGAAGTTACATGGTGATCAGCATGTGACATCCACACTAGCAATGGTAGGGTACCAGAAGTTATAAAGAACAGACTAGGGTTTACAAATTGTAAGGAGAAAAATGTCAAAGGTCTGTGGAGAGGTCAGACTTTAAGAAGGAACATGAAAAAACATGGCACTCTTAACAGCTCTGCTCCCTGTTTAAGTGCTAAGCTGTATCTGCCAAGTTAAGAGGCAAAATAAGGGCTTATTACGTATTTCTTCTGCTGTCATGGAGAAGCTCAATGTCATACAAATTGCAGTATCACTATTATCCCTGATATCAGAACTGGCAGCGTCAGTCCCTTAATATAAGTGTGACAGTCTGCCAGTAAATAGGGAAGTTTCATGCGACTCCATAGATGATTGAGAAGATCAATCCAAGATCTCCATGTTCCACTGCAGACATGGCAATACCAAAACCAGAAGTAGTAAAAGTCAACTTTCAGATTGCAGGACAAGTTGAAGGAAAGAAAAACAAATATCTTTACCTACAACCTGTGAAAATGTATCATGGAATATAGATTGAGATACTTTGCAAAATTTCAATTAAAAAATTGATTTCGCATAAATCTAGGGGTCTTGCAATTTCAGGTTAAGGGTAGGCCAATTATAGAGTTGGCCCCAGTTGTGAAATTTTGATTTGGATTCCACTTCAGATTCTGAACTTGTTTGGATTTTTTCCTTTTTAAGCAAGAGGGTATTTATTTTGTTCTCCATTAAGGCTGTCTCAAAGATGTAACTAATAATATTTGAAACCTCTCAGGAGGTCACTTACAGTGAACGTACTGAAACAGATATGAACAATATTAGGGAACTGAACAAAGTAGAATTGTTAGGTAACCAGTCATCTTTCAGTGTATAACTACACATTAGTTGTGCTACTATACTAGAAACTAATGGTTTCATTGTCAAAACTGTACAGGCTGCTAAAAGGCCTTAGTGAAAGCTCTGGTTAGAGATCACAGGTTGAAAGATTTTTTTTTTTCTCTATTGGCCCATTGGTACCCTGAAGACCAGTTGCTAAATCTAACAAATTCTACTAGAGTTTCCAAAAAAAGGTAAAGATATTATGAACTGAGAAAGAGACAATATTTTTCCTGCATCCTGTAGGAAAAACCTCATTAGCTAACCTAGTTCTCTAGCTGACATAAAATACTGAACCACTGATTAATTGCAAAACTTCTTAAATCATTTGTTAATTCTAAAGGTTTTACAGACCTCACTAAAAACCCAAGTTTAAAGAAAAGCATTGAGGATTAGACCAGAAAATCTTAGAAATAATATAGTTCAACATAAGTAACCATGCTGGGTTATCTCAAGGGTATGCAGATGTTTGGGAAGGTTAGATCGCATTAAAAATGACCACCTGATGTAACTTCGTTTGCCCAGGTGTGGACCTTACACTTAGATCCCTAGTTAGGTAGATCTAAGTGAGAACTGAACTGAAGTTTAGGAAGGTTAGATTGATCTAAAATATGGTCAACCTGATCTAAGTTAACTGTACCTTGGAGGTAGTCTAACTTAGATTGGGTCCAGTGAGACTCATCTGAACTTCTGTACAGTTCCCACCGCAGGCCGAGGGCTAGGAGAGCCCAGCTGCTGCCCCCAGCCCCAGGCATGTACTTTTCCTACTTCTCAGGCAGCTTTTAGCTCCCTGGCACCTTGTCCCAAACGGGCTACTCCCCCTTCCCCCACCCAATAGGCCAGCCAGCCCTCTCTGAACCAAACCCAACCATCCTGCAATCCACTGCCAGTACCAGTTTTTTACCAGCATTCACTGGTGCTAGAAGCCAAGGAAGTGAGTCAGGGTAGGGAGGAGGGATAAACAGGATTGGGGGCTGGGAAAGAGGGGGAGAGTTGGTTTGCCCAAAGCATCAGGTGCTAAACATAGCTGCTGGTTCTAGTTGCAGAAAGAGCCCCCCCATCCTGCCAAACCCTCCCCCAGAGACCAATTAGGACCCCTGATCTATTTGCCCCTTCCCTTAACTTGACTTACTTCAATCAGGCTTCCAGGACCAGTGAACACTGGTAGGAGCAATTTGGCAGGACTGGGGGGGGGCAACAGATTTGTCTGGATCAGAGAGCCTCTCTGATCCTGCCAACCCTCCTCCCTCAGATATCACCAAGCCCCACACAGACTCTGCCCGCCCCCAATCCTACCAAATCTTCCTGGACTCCATCAGTTCCCACCCCCCCCAGATTCCACTTGCCCCCTGATCCCCCAACCTCCTGTGGACCCTGATTACCTCCCCAATTCCCCCAAGCTCCCCCACTAGCCCCCATCCCAACTTTCCTTAGATTGGGTGACCATTTTTAACTCAATCTATCTTCCCCCTAACATATCCAAATGTTTCTACATAACCCAAGTGTCAACAGAAAATAGTTACAGTATTCCACAGCCCAAACGGACCACTTCCACATGTAAGAATAATCACAGAAAAATATGTAAAATTTGATGAAGATGAAAGAGAAGTAAAAAGAGGAGACAGATGATTCCAAGACTATAATGGAGAATATCCAGCAAAAAAGTAAGAAAAAATCTATAATACTTCTACACAAGCTATTAGATAATGTAAAATAAAATGGTTATTGTTATTATCATGGTTTATGTTAGGTAGGCAGTGAAAATATGCTAGGCATTATCCAGACAGTTATGAGCAGGTGAATCTACAGTAAAGTACAGAGATTACAAGATTGTAGGACCATCCACAATCAGAATAAATCATATAAACAAGAGACAGGATGTTTCCTGGATTCATTTCAAGAATCTTGCCCTGTATAACTCCAAATAAAAGGTAGCTGGAGTCTCTTTCTATCATAACGGTGGGCACTGAAAGCTTAATCTGCAATCCAAATCCCACTGAAGGCAATGTAAGCCTTTTTCATTAACTTAATTAGCTTTGACTCTTGTCCTTATTCTCTGTTCCTGATTCAGCAAGGTAGCACAGACATAACTTCAAGTATGTGAGTAATGTCATCTTTGCCACCTGAGTCTAAGCCCAGTCACAGTTCAGGCCAGATTAGCAGCAGTATGTCAAGCCAGAGATCTGGAGACAGGAACAGAGGAGGTAGCAGAGCTGTACAGAAGCAACAAGAACCTTCTTGTTCTCACAGCTTCCTGTTTCCTGTGCATGCTTTATAGAGGCAGGAGCCTTATGGGGGGTGGGGAACCAAAGCCACTGCTGGGAGTCCTAGCTAATCAGGGGCCAGAGATGGCAGCCCTTCTCAGTGTGGACCCTGGTGAAGGACTGCACTGGTGCTTGCTTCCCTGAGCCTTAAGGTTCCATGTTTGAGACTGTATCCTATCACTCACAAAGACAAAAACAATCCTGTATTAAACTGTTCAGCCCTGTAGCACTGGTTTCAAAAAAGAACTCCATGCTTTGGGAAACAAGCCCAAAAAGTGATACGTAGAAAATTAAAAAATGCCTCAGTGACTTAAAGGCCTAAATCCTACTTTCAAATCTGATTCTTCAAAAATGGGATACAGGATTCCAAGACTTCATGGCACTTTTGAAAGTGTTTTACATTTTCTTATGTCAATGTACCACATTTTGTAATCAACACTGGTTCATCTGCTGCTACAACAGAAGAGACAGTTGAAAATGGAAAGTACACGCAGTAAAGTACGCTCACTTCGTAAAATTCAGAGGTCCTTCTTAGATTCTGAAATCCTAACAAAAATTGATTGTCTGTGCAGTGTATTCATAACTCATATAGCAGGAATCTGAGAAAGCGTCTTAGTGGAAGTGTGTTTTCAAATTTGACTGGACATTTCTTGATCTATGATTGATACTTGTTTATTTTCAAAGCTACTCAAGTAATGCTCATATCATCCATCAGGTGATTTGGTACACCAGGTTTAATAGCTATCATGGAAGAAAACAGCTGGTCACAGAAATAAGTGGACTGACAAATGTGAGCAGTCCTGTAAAGAAGACAGGAATGGAAACTGAGAGATATCAGATCCATACAAATTTATTCTTTGACTTTGCCAATTCTTTGACCTTCAGGAGTAAAATTGGTCCGTTGATTATTCAGTATGGTAATGAGGAAGACTTTTTAGAGAAGGATGTGACATTTCAGTGCTTTATTTCAGTATTTATAGAAATACCAAATGTTAGTTTCCATAATTCTTACAGGCCAAATAAATGAAAGGCCATTCTCATCATTTAAAAGAGGGCTCTTTGTTTCAACCATTATTATTCTTCCAATGTCTCATGCTTTCACTTTTAATAAATCTCCAGCAGTCTTCTAGCAACAGTGGGCCAAAATCCTTCCCTGACAAACCACTCATATCCCTGACATCAAAACAGTTCATAGAGAAAGGCATCAGCTGGCATTGGACAAATACTCAACAATAAAGCAAAAGAATAAGGTTGAGAGAGTTGTGTGCATTAACATTTCCACTTTAAAAGCAGAATTTTCTTTGTAAGGGGAAAACACAATTTAATGCTGGTGTGCTCATTTATTGGGAGGACTGAATAAGCAGCAGCTGACAAGCTGGCAGAACCAGAAAGACATGTCTACACACGTATTATAAATATTGCATCCAATACATAATGCTGTTCCCCGCCAGTCATTACCATGATGCCTTGAAGGAACAGGATGTTCAGTTACCTAAACACCCTTAGTTTTGAAGGCTTTCTTCTCCCCCACATGAGAGGCTAGGAGTTGTTGCTAGGCTGCTGCAAACTTGCTGCTACATTGCAACAGTCAGAAAATAACCACTTAAATTAGTTTGTCAGGAAATGCCACTCTTGACTCTCCTACTGCAGTGTACTCAGCAAGGGCACCATAAGTCGAGTACCAGCAACTAGCTTTATGGGAAACACCAAACTCTTCTGACAACGTTATTTACCACAGCAGTGTGCAAGCACTCCGACAGTGCGAGGCACATTGACAGCTTATACGCAGCGTAAGGTTTGCAACTAATTGTCATAAATGTTTTCAGATATTTGCGAGAACTGTGTCAAGTGGCTTCTTCTACAATTAGCTTTAATTACTTTACTTTCCATTTTTCACTTACCTTCCACCATACAATTTTTCCTCCTGGTTTTTCTCTTTCTCTCTTGTCCACTTCTTCCTCTTTTCCTCACAATCCTGACAGAAGTGACAATTTTCCCCAATCAACACAAGTGCATGGCTGCAAACAGCTTTAAAATGGCCGATAGGGTGAAAAATCTGACCCCTCGTTGCTTTAGGTATTAGATAAAGATGTTTCAAAATGTACCGTCTTCTGTAACTTGTGTCTGCGGAGCTCCAAGCCTGTCACGGTTTTCAGAATGGGAGGGGTGAAAGGGAGCAGGTGGAGTTCAGCCCTTACCCTTCAGCACTGGCTGGGGAGCCCCAAAAATGAGCTCCCTCTGCTGCCTTTCCCCCCTCCCATTCAGAAAACAGCCAGCACTGGCAGAGAGCTATGGCTATTGCGAGGGGAACCTGGCTGCAGGCTCCCAGCACAGCTAGATTCCCCTCACCCCTGGAACCAACAGTGAACTTCTGTTTGGTCTGGAAAGATGCAACTCAGAGCACTTTGCAGAAAACGTTCTGAGATATAGGTTGGAGCTGCACTTTTGTCTGTACCTATGGCCTGTCTCCAATTGGTTCCTCACCTGCCATTGTTAAACTTGTGCATATTTGCCTCTCCTTTTTGCCCATCCTTGTTTCTCCATTTCCAACCCCCCCCTCTTTTTATTTGCTGTTTTCATCTTTCTCTAACTTCCTTTCATTTTCCAGCTTTATTTGCTCACACTCAGGAGAAATTCTCTACAAACATGACGTTGGAAACAAGTGAATTTAAAAAATAAGATGCAAATGCTGCAGAAGTAGGTGAGACCACCAGCCAACCACAAGAAACGTTCTGGTGGGTTATGGGTTAACACATCATGCTTACCACAATGGATCACATGAGTTTCTTGAACACTGCACTGTGAATGAACAGCCCTTTCATTTCTCTCTTATAAGCCTGAAACAAATCTCAAACACAACTGATATAAAGACACCATCGTGCCTATAAAGTCATGGGGCAACTAGCACTGGTTTTCATTAGCAGAAAATATCATTGGAGAAGAGATGGAACTCAGAGGAACATTTGTTGCTCATTCTGTACTGGCCTTTCATATAGATCAGTCAACAATTCTATTTTTCTTTCTCCCTTTACCTACTGGCAGGAAAATAAATGGTATATTGAAGAAAAGAATAGTTCTGTATATGCACCACCAGGTGGCAATGCATAATCAAAAATAATGAGGACACACCTAGCCAAAGATGACTGAAAATTAAAATCACAACTATCATGCTGCCAAGGAAAAATGTTCTAAAAAGGAATTTACTGAAAAGGACCATTGGAAACTTCTTTCTTGCCTTTTATGAACTCCTCCTGAAAAAGTCTGCTCAGTCAAAAAGTATAAGATTGCTAGTTATATTTCAATTTGCAGCATGAATTTAAGATTTTTTTTTAGCAGTGGGAGGAGGCAAGGAAGGCTTCATGTTTGCTTAACAGCAGTCTCTCTGGCCATCTATGAGGAGTGATAAGATGTGAAGTAAGTTCTTTTTGATTAAGATGATAATTTCTTCCATATAGAATCTTAACTGTGGCAGCTTCAAAATGGGGATAAATGGCAGGAACATATGAAGAAATGTTAGCAAACTAGAGAATACTAGCTCGGTTATCAAGGTATTCTGTATCTGGGGCCCTCAAGAATTTTCTTCCCTATACTTCTATGAGATAGAGAAATATTTTTATCCCCGTTTTATAGAAAGGGAACTGAGGAATGGAGCAAATAGGACATTCAAAGCCATATAAGAACTCTGTAGCAGAGGCAGGTAGTGAATTCAGGTAATCTTGAGTCCCACTCTGATGAATTATCATAAACTTGGAAAGTGCCCGGTATCACGCCTACTTATATACTATATGTGGCAGCTCTATCTTATCTAACATCTCCAGTAAAATGACATTCATGTTTTAATAGACAGAGAGATGGGGAGGGGAGGGGAGGGGGAGGGGAGGCTTCTGCAGAAGAGGCACATTTGTTACCAAGAACCTGATACCGTTTGGTTTTTTGAAACACAAAACTAAAGCATGTTTATGATCAGGATTCCTTCACAAGCTTAGACAGAACTCAAGGATAGTTATGATTCCCTTAATAATTACTCTTTTTGCATACCAAATTGAAATACAATCACATTTCCTAATGATCTTCCATTCCGTCTTAGCGGGTAAGATGTTATCACCACCCAAGTCAGAAAAAGAGATGGGAGACAGGTTTATAAATCAACCTTTTATTGATTACATCCCAAAGCATAAGAATAAGCACTTGTCTCTATGCTTATCTAGCTACCACAATATCAGAATACAGATTTTCACCTATACCCACTGAGGGAGAAGTAGGAGGGAGAAGGAAGGTGGCGTGCAAGCTGGCAGCAAGTTGTCTTGAATTTGCTGAGGTCTTTTCCCAATTCCCTCTGTTTACACTTAATATTTATGTGAGTTAGTAAATAAATATGCTGATTGGTGTTATTTAAATTTCTTAGTTTCACTGAGTTTTTGGGAACTGAACTGAACCAAATTTCCTGTGGACTTGGAGGGTGCCACTTAGCTGGGGTCTGCAACCTTGTGAAAACTACAGTTCTGGGAGAAAGGACTTTTTATCTCTTTCTTTCACTACTGGGGGATACTACTTGCCATATTCTGTTTCTTTCACTTTGCTGAGTAGGCCAGTTATAATGTACACCATGTTACCAAAGACACATTATTATTGCAATACGATTCTAGCTGACTACCTACAACTTAGTTGTTCTCAAAAGGCAAAACATCAGTTGCTACTACTAGCTGGTGTCAGATTTTTGCAAAAAGCATTTATTCATTCTTGGCATAATCTAATATTAGAGGCTTGATAAACAAATCCTTGTTCTACTTTCCTAGGCTACTGCTTATGATTTAAATGCAAGCTGTTTGTTTACTGATTGCATATCAGCTTAAGCATTTATCATTTATTAGCAGGGATCTAGGTTTTCCGTTTCCCACGGAAAAATGGAAAAAAAATGTGGATTTTCCCTTTTACCCCCCCCCCCCC